TATTGTTATTACTCACTGAGTTGGAGTACTCACTTTACTCCCTGCACCCTATGTGCAGATTCAGGCGCTTCAGGTCCCGCTAGCGAGTGTTGATTTCTTCCAGCTCAGGCGGTTCGGAGATTCACTAGGTAGATGCTCGGCGTTCGAAGCCCAGTGCTTCTTCCCTATCTTAGTTTTCTCTTGTTTTAGTTCTGTAATAGACTAAGTAGACTCTTCCTGTTTTTTTTATCGGTTAGTAGATGCTCATGATTGGTGACTCCCCGATGTCAGGCTGTGTTGTTTTCCGCAAATTGTGTTATTCACCTTTATTTTGGGATTTATTATTTAAAGACTTAAGTTGTGTTATTTTAATTGCTTAAAGATGAATTGGGTGTGTGTCGGTTGGCCTTGTCTTTACGAGAGGCACCATCACGATCGGGTCCGGATTTAGAGTCAGTGACAAAATCTAAGCTTGTGCTTTGTCTTAAACATGTCTATGACATTTCTCATAAACATGCTCTGTGATTTTATTTTTACGCTTTAAACAATGTAATAAACAAAACTTGTATAAAGATTTTTTTATAATAAATATTTAAAATATGTTACCAATTATATGATTTAATTAACTGAATTTTACATATCTTAATTGATGCTCAAGTTATTTACAAATGATTTGGTTTAACACAAATTGCTGCTGCTCGAAAGTACCTTTTTTTAAATTTTACTGGAATTAAATCTTGAGAAGACAAATGTTGTCACTTGATGGAATTTACCGCCGAGACAAAGTAAAGGACTGATGAACATGGATAGATGGTATTCCGTCCGTTTTAATTTATGTGAACTTATTTTTTATTTGGTTCATTTAAAAAAGAATGATCCATTTTTAAATTTCGAAACAATGTAACTTAAACTTTCAATTTTACCCTTAATGAGAAGTTTTTATAGCCACTCGAGCCGTCAATATGGGCTTGGCCCGTTGGACCAGCCCAACCCGTGATTTAGCAGGGCTGGACTAGAATTTTCAGAGCCCATTTAAAAATGAGGATTTTAAGCCCGGTCCGTGAGACTTAACTAAGGTTGGTCTTGGCCGGCCCGTGGGCCTAATAAAAATACGTATTTAAAATATAATAAGCATATGACACAAAAAAATAACAAGAAGAATATCCTAAGCTTAAAATTTATTAAGCTCATCATATTAAAAGATCAAAGTTTTAAAATTTAATTATTCTTAATATTTAACTAATTAATATTGCATACGAATTGTAGATGTTGATGAAAGTGAAGATGTTAAGACAACCTTCTCACAAGCTAATTCAAATGTGTTTGATGAAGATGATGGGGTTGGATATCCCATATGCGTCATGTACGTTCTCTTGAATAGTTTGTTTTGAGTTCTGAATTCTAGTGACTGAAATATAGTCATGCCTTTTACTTTTTTAGTATTTACTGTGATATATTGGAATAGTATAAAAAGTTATTAAGTTTTGTGAATTTTTCCAATAATTTTTTTTAACTTTTAATTATTTATCATTTTTTGGTTAGAACTTTAAAAAAATTAATATAAAACTATATTTTAGAAAATGATGGGCCGGCCCGTGGGGACCCACAACCCACATAGGACTTGGGTGAGCTGATCATTATAAGGCCCATCAAAATGGTGGGCTAGCCCAGCCTAGCCCGTCAATTGCTAAAGCCACGTGGGTTGGGCTGGGCTAGCCCAGCCCCACCCATATTGACAGCTCCAATAGCCACACAAATACTCTGGACCCCTTTTTGACTTGTTTAAAACCACAAATTCCAAATTTTCTTTTTTTTAGACTTCATGCCCGGTCAAACAGGTTCATATAAATTGGAACGGAGAGAGTAATTATCAGTTTTTTTTTTACCAAAAAAAAAGAAGAAGAAGATAATTACTCCTTCCGTTCCATTTTATGTGAAGCTATTTCCTTTTTGGTCCGTTCAAAAAAGAATGACCCCTTTCTAAATTTGGAAACATTGTAGCTTAAACTTTCAATTCTACCCTTAATGAAAAGCTTTTATAACCACACAAATACTGTGGACCCCTTTTTGATTTGTTTAGGACCACAAATTTCAATTTTTTTTTCTTAAACTCCATGCCCAATCAAACAGGTTCACATAAATTGGAACGCAGGGAATATCAGTTTCTAGAGTCGAAAAGCGGAAGCCAAAGCACACTTATTTATGAATCACCATTTTAATTTTTCTTTTCTTTTTTGTTATGTTCCCCGTTCACGCACTTATTATTGTTTTGAAAAGATATGCATAGGGTTGCATTTGACTTTTACGTATAAGAAATCTATTTTGTGCCTCTATAGTTGTTATATTTTGAATCTTCTTGATATAGCCCAATAATATAGCTCAACGGTTAAGGGATTTTATAAAGGTCATTATTTATATGGTCATTCAACTATCCGAAATTAACTACGAGGGTGTTTGGCTAAGCTTATAAGCTGGTCAAACTAGCTTATACGCACTTTTTGGCTTATCTACACGTTTGGTAAAATTAAAAGTGCTTATAAGCTAAAAATAAGCCAAAAGCCATAAGTTGGTCTCCCCCAACTTATCAAAATTCAGTTTATAAGCACTTTAAGTTTGACCAAAATATTTACTATTCTATCCCTAAAATACTTCTTTTTAAAACAAAACTCTTCGTGCATATTATTAATTTCAGCACTTTTATCCAAACACGTAACTGCTTATTTTTTAAATCAGTTTCAGCACTTAATGCTTATGAGCTACTCTAAATCAGCTAAGCCAAACGGGCTCTACATCTTTTTTTTCGTTTGTAACAGCAAAGTGACTTAACTGTACCTATAGCAGTCAGGAGGTCACTCAACTAGATTTCTCAAACTTTTGATCGTCAAATACCTATTTTACCCTCTAAATTATCAATCTTCGAATAAATAAATTTTACTCTTAAAATAAAAAATAAAAAAAATATTTAAGCATATATAATGCTGGAATAATAAAATATTGAGCATAGTAGAAAGTTAATTAGAATAATTTGTTCGTATTATTAAATATATTTTTATAATATTCATTATATATTCTTCATTACTATGCTCAATATTATTATTTTGACATTATATATGCTAGAGAAACAATTTTTATTATTTATTTTTAATAAAATTTATTTGTTCTAAGGTAAGTCCTTAATGTTGATTAAAAAGCGAAAAAATCATAATATCAAAAAAGTAATAAAAGAAGAAGATAAAAATTATAATTTAGAGGGTAAAATAGGTATTTGACAATCAAAGTTTAAGAAATCTGGTTAAGTGACATTCTGAGTGTTATAGGCATAGTTAAGTGATTGTTCTGTTAAAAACAAAAGAAAGATGACTATACAAGATAATTTTGAATAGTTGAGTGACCGTTTAAGTAATGGACTCGAATTGCATAGCCGTTGTGAAGACGTTGTTGGTTCTATTCTTATCGGCTATAGTTTCTTTTAATTTTTAATTATTTTTTTTTGAATCCTCTTAGCGGAAATAATCATGCCTTCGCCACTGTATAGACATATTCTTTTGTCCAAAATAGTAAATAAGAATTTCAGGGTATGCCCTCCTTCTACATAGATATTCTTTTACTTTTGGATAATCAACAAAGAAGATTCGTTTGTTGAAAGAAAAAAACAACAGATCTTTGAACCTTGTCCTAATAGACTCTTAATTACGGCAAACGAGTTGGTTGGATCAGATATAGGCGGTCAAAAATAAGTAATATAAAAAACAAATAAATCATACAACCTGGCCCATATTTAATATGGATAGAAAATGGGTAAATTGGCAGATAACGTGGATATTCATATTCTTGAATATGTCACTTTTCGCAGAATTCCTAGTCTACCAAACTTGAGGAACCCCCAATTTAAGTTTTTACAAATATAAAAGTTAAACTTATTGGTTATCCATTTTTTAAGTACATAATATGGATCATATGCATGTTTGATCCATTTTAAAAAGTTCATTATTTAACGTATTTTTTAGTGGATAATATGGATGGATAACTATTTTTAAATCCATATTGCCACCACTAAGTTGGTTAAATTGAAATAAATTGATTTGCTAAATAAAAAAAACTAATACTAATCAAAATGGTTTTGTTTTTTATAGGCGTGCTTGGTTTTTTTCGGTTTTTTTTCTGCCTTTTGGATATCCATTTATTTATTCAACTATTAAGGTGAATAGGCCTTCTTGTATCATTGAAATTTCAATTGTTTTATTATGTGTTCAGTAAAGGCAACCATAAGCACTTCAACTTAATGTGTTTGAAGCATTAGAAAGTATAGAATATATTTACTGTTTTACATAATGGTCTCCTCCTGGTTCAACGTGTAACTACTCATTCAGATCAGTAAAATTTGCACTAAAGTAGAAAAATAGCTTAGATGTGATTAAGATCTTCATGCAATGTATCAACTCTCACTTGGCCAAGAATGTCAAGAGGAAGTGATGAAGGATTATAATAATGGTAAGAAATACATGATACTTTTCAGCTTGTTTGGATGTATGTTACCTGTTGTATTGTATCGTATTGTTATTTTAAATACGACACTTATTCTGATTGTTATCCGTAGTTACGTAGTGATGAAGGGTGACTTTATGGAACAACCGATTTGGTGTGATCGCGTCGTTATCTATTTTTTTCTCTCATCTTACACTTCCTTACTATTAAATAACTTTATTTAATCCTTTATCCTACATATTTATATAATACTTATATCTCGTACCTTACTTTTTCTTTATAATATTGCAAGTTTATTCTTCATATTGTTGATGCATGACATCATGAAACGACGACAAACAATACAATATATTCAATTATTCTATACGTCAAAACGATACGATACATAAACCATCCAAGCAAGCTGTTAGTCTGACTACAAGTTTCCTCAGTTTGAAGTGAAAAGATAGATGTAGTTTCAATCAGTTAGGCCTCAGAATTTATAGCATGAATCTGAAGGAGGTCTCATTCTTTACATAACCAAAACATGCTTAAAGTTAAGAAGGAGAAGGAGATTTTTTTTTCCTTATTCAACGAAGTGCAATAGCTACACAGCATTGATCAGTAAGCTCTACAGATTCCTACCTGGGACCTTGCTACCCAATGCCCACAAAAAATCAAAGAAATTCAGGTTACAAAAATTAGCTTGTGATGGATCATATGTGTCTGTAAATAAATTGAGACATTCTGAGACTTTGATCTAACATGTTAACTTAATCGCAAAATAGAACTATGGATTTGTTTTCACACTTGCTACGTAGGTGGAAAGAATCGATTGAGATTGAATGGCAATGTATAGAACTCTTCATTTCGGTTATCACCTCTGAAAGTTCTGAACTTCACCCACCATGGCATGCCTCGGTCTTTCTTTGCTTTCTCCACTTCCAGTGTATTGTCAAGAAACACAGCAACTATTAGCCCCACCATTGGAGGCGACGTGAATATGGTGTTAACAATTGCATTGAACTGCAAAGGGAAACACCAACATTTCAAACCAGTTTTGAGATGTTAAAACTTATAAAAAGATACATGCCTATGAGACAGTTTTAATGCGACATATTACGAAGTTATCTGATGACTTCATTCAGACATAGGTGTAATCCATCGAGAATCCTAACCAGTTGCAACAACATACCCAGTATATTGCCACAGTGTGGGATCTGGGGAGGGTAATGTGCACGCAGACCTTACCCCTACCTCGCGGAGGTTTCCGATAGACCCTCGGATCAAGAGAATCCTAACCAGTTGCATTGAACTTTTTTAGGTCAACTATTTTATCAATGTGGCCTAAAAGAATAAACATCTGAATAGGAGTTTTCATAAAGTTAATCGATTACGTATAAACGTTAAGTTACAACAACTAGACTAGAGTACAAACAGTTTCAAATTACTACTATAATTGAAGTTGCATGTAAATCAAAAAGTACTCACCCATCCTGCATGGGTGTTAACAAGACCATGACGAGCTGGATACCAATACTCATTGAAAAATTGTGGTATTGATATCCCAAGGAAAAGTGAAAGACCTGTTATTATGAGATTCCTCATACAGTTCAAATTTGTGAATTGAAGAAATGATAATCCAACTGAGCCTGCAAAGGAGAAATCAACCTTACTATCTGGAGAAAGTCATAAACGAATTTGATGTTATCTGAAAATAATCGCATACCTACAAGGCCAAACAGAACACAGTATAGTGCAGCGTATATTGGGAAAGGTATTGATGCAAAAACAGCACCAAATTTCCCTGCATAAAACAGAAAAATATGAGTTGGAAAAATAAAGGAATATGTACAGCGATTGGCTGACAGATAGACCATGTGTGGATATGCTAACCAAGCATAGAGAAGAATATCATAAAACCAGCAGAAATCTGAACGACTCTTCGACTTCCAACTCGAGTCAATCCAAGAAGTCCCACATTTTCCCTGAAATGAAGTGCCATCTTACTTGTTACCTAAATATCATCCGAAAATACAGAGACACAGAGCTACATTTGTATTGCCTGAATTCTTACACAGAAACAGTGGAACCAGTGCCTGTTCCGAAAAGTCCATCAAGCAAAACGCCTATTCCCTACAAAAAGATAATTAGAAAAATAAAATGTTTTAGGAGAAATGAATTTGGTCAAATTAACAACTAATATAGAATTAAGAGGAATGGTAAAGAGAATCTGTTCGTTACAGGAATGATGTTATCTTTAAGTTGACCAAAATACTAAAAGTAAGACAATTTCGACAAGTGCACGTTCAAATTCTCCTCAAACGAGTATTTCTTTATACACAATAAGAAAAAAAATTGTGTACTCTATTCATAAATGAGGGGTCCTGTTTAAATTTGTTAAGAAAACCTCACCTGCCATCCAATGCCACGGCTTAGTACATAGGCAGGAGGTGGAGTGGCAATTGCCAGACGAGATGCTGCCATATAAGCTCCGGTTGACTGCACACAATGTTTGAGTCAGAATATACTCTTTTCCATAGGCCAGTAAAAGTGTATCTTCATCAAGCCAAAAAATTTACTTGGACACGAGCAATTGTATAGCAATAAAATAAAATAAAAAAAAATAAAAAAGGGCAGTCTAGTGCACTAAGCTCCCGCTATGCGCGAGGTCCGGGGAAGGGCCGGACCACAAGGGTCTATTATACGCAGCCTTACCCTGCATTTCTGCAAGAGGCTGTTTTTATGGCTGATCAGTACTGATTAGAGCTGTGCATAATTTGGTAAATACCGAATTACCGTACCGAAACCGAAAATTTTGGTATTTGGTATACGATATTTTGGTATTTGGTATGGTATTTGGTTTAAGTTTATAAAAAAATTGGTATTAGGTATGGTATTTGGTATTTTAAAATAAAATACCGAAATACCGATACCGTACCGAAATATATATTATATTATACAAAACATATATTATCAATTATAACATAAATATAAAAAATCTAAATTTTACTTTCCTTTATTCTCTAAGTTCATCAATTAACTCTAAACAAATAACAAGACATTTCTAACGATCATATATTCTTTTATGTACAATTTTCTCTATTTGGGTCGATATTTGCTAGTTTTGGACAAATTTTTTGTCAACAAACATTTTCAGTTTTGTATTTTTGAGTAATTTAATTAAGAATATTAGAGTCTATGGCTCTATGCACTAGTTAGTATTCAAACCGAATAAACCGAAGTTACCGAACCGAATAAACCGAAATCGAAAGGAGAAAAACCGAACCATACCGAATTTAATTAGGTACGGTATTGGTATAGGATTTTAAGAAACCGAATACCGAAAATACCGAACTGAAATATCTAAATACCGTACCATACCAACCGACGAACACCCCTAGTACTGATCGATCATTTCAACAACCAAGTATGGCTCAACCCCAAAAAAGCTTGTAGAATAGCCCCGTCAACTGAATCATTTCTGCTCAATTTGCAAAATGAAAGAAGAAAAGAAGCAGGACATGTAAGTACCTCAACCATTGACACAAGAACTGCAGACATCATAGCAAAAGAATGCCCTGCTGCAAAAGTAGGAGGACCCCACTGCAGAGGATACGGGAACATGAACCTGAAATTATAATCCGAATGCTAGTTTAAAACCATTGGCTTAAATCAACAACGGTATCTAAGAGAAGCCAAGCACTAAACGCACCATGGAGCAGTAGATATGAGATTTGCTCTATCAGTGCGGCAATTATGTTGAGTTTTATTTGATTTGTCACGGTAAGCCCCACTAGCCGTCAGAATAATGGAATATATCCAGATAATGGTAACACAAATCAAAACAGGAAACCGCTCGAAAATTGGAAAATCCCTCAGTGGTTTAACATTCTTTAGATACTGCAAAAACATATGTGTTACCTGAGTAAACTCAAGAGAGCATGGGAGAGAAATGTTCAACCATTTTAAAGCACCACTTACTTGTGATAAGCCAATCACCAACAACAGCATTGGAAGCCCAATTTCAATGCAATTCCCTAGCTGCAAATATGGGGAAATAGTTCATTATAAGAGCGCAAAAAGATGATTGAGCTTACCCCTTGTTTTACAAGGAATTAGTGAGCATAATAAGTGAGCATATTATTATCCAACAATCTAAAACTGGAGACAAGAAAGAGGCAGATTCTCTAGAAATAATTGCACATAATTTGAATGGAATTAAAGAAGACTCAAAGACAATTTAAACCAGGCAATTCAGCTTATAACATCTTTTGGTTAAAGACAGCCCGTTAGCATGCCATAGTAAGAAAACAGGGGCAGTAAATAACCTATAAAGAAGTGAAAAGCTCCATGTCGTATTGAAATCTAGAATTTTTACTCAAGGGCAGGCAAAATAAAGAGAAAAAAGCCATATAGAGTTTCAGAAAGCTTCAAGCCGAGTTCTCAATTACGGTGAGAAAAATTTAACATATTTTGACAAGAAACAAGCAAATGTTAGAATTCAAGACAAATGTCCAACTGTAGCAACAGATACTCACTGCAGGAAATCCTCGCTGAAATAGGCCCAAACCAACTAATCCGACAACGGGTGCCATCCCAAGGGGACTGAAGAAGCTGTAAACAAGCAGCAAGACAGTCAAGAATATGGACATGTACTGACTCTGACTTACTGAACAATAAATTACCGGTATCATACCGTGAGAAAAGCCCCCAAACTTGGCTGTATCCCAAAATAATTTGAATGCTAGATGCAACAATCAAAGCTCCTTGAATAGCTCGCATCGTATGTACAAATCTCTGCAGTAAAGTTTAGATCCTCAAACCTCTTCTTTTGATAGAAAACTAAAGCATATCACAAAAAAAGAAAGTAAAGATCAATTTGGTAATATCTCAAATAATCAGGTTTACAAAACCAAGGCAGCCTAGGCTACAAAATTTCAGCTTTCAACGAGTCTGTTGATCATTGGAGCAAAATGGATAGAGGAATGACTGAGATTGTAAGACTTACAACATGTGGCTCACTAATTCGTTGAAGATGTGAGTCGCTAATTATATAGACAATCGGAACAACATATGCAAATGAACCTCCAACAACAGCTGGCAACCTGGTTCCAAACAGTGCTTGGAGAAGAGTATTTATACCAGCCACAAAGAGCAGAGTTTGTATAACCTTTGCCTTATCCCCCTGGATAGAGAAATGACAGATCATTTTGATGAGTAAATGAGCTTGAGATTCGCTGTTTTCTGCTAATGCAATGATTATGTTGTTTTTTTCTTTGCTGCACTGCGAATGTAGATGTATAATCAGATAACTAGAGAATCAGCTTACATCTGATCCACCCATTAAGGGTACAAGCCACGAGGGAATCATCACACTTGTGCCAAGCACTAATATGTAATTTTGAAAGGCTAACAAGACGGTTTCAGCTGCAGATAAGAAAAATCTGCATTAGTAAGTAACTAAGTATAGAAAGTGATAGAGTGACAATGCTTCAAAGAGCGAAAAAGATTAGATCACTTCGCCAACTTATAAAAAAGATTTCGATTTTCTTTTTTCCCACCAATAGTTTCACCAAGTTTACTTAACTACACACAGAATCCGCAGAAGAAATTATATATTTTTGTGGCAATAATTGAATCATCAGACAACTCTACACGACGAACTATCTCTAGCATGGTAGCATCTTTCTGGAAACCAGTTAACAGATTAACTGGCCAGAGATTTTCATCAGGCATTAGAACTCCTAATACTAACTAAGCGATCCTTGAATTGGACTGCATATAACAAGGCTTAAACTGAAATACCAGGTTGAAGGGTTTGCGTCCTCATTTCCAGTTTAAATTCATAATGGATGACCTAGACCATAACTTTGTAAGCACCTCACCTAATCACATCCCCACTCAACAATGCAAATGAGATGTTCAATGCAGCATAATATGGATGTCCTCAAATGCAGCATAGAACCAATAATACTGAAATTCGGAGACTCCATTCTCTGCATTTATATTTCTCTCATTATCAGTTGTCCTTCTTATTGGTATTCATTCAATTTTTTTTTTCACTAACATTCTTAGGGTACTCCGCTATGGAGACGCAGGCTATTTCCAAGAAGTGCATTGTTGTTGGATACTTCAAAAAACTCCTTTTTTTCTTTCTTTTCTTTGGGAAATTACCTGAAATCGATATTACTTAAGGAAAGAGAAGCCTTAATATTGGATGGTTAAGAAATGCTATGAAAATGAACTCTTCTGTCAACCCCAAAGCCCAAGATTGAGCAAGGTTGCAGCCATAACAAGAATTAGATGTCAAAGTTACAATCTTTCATACAAATCAGAAAGCAGCAGAAGAAGAAAATATCAATAGCTAACCAACATTCTCAGTCCCCCATTTTGAACCATCAAACATTTGGTAAAGACAATTAAAAATAGCATCTTTAAGGCACAACAAACACAGAAAACCTAAGAAATGTAGCAAAAGTTGCCAACTTTCAAAATGTGAAACTTTTTTCATCAATTCAAAATGGACGCCCTAGTCCACTCCTAGAGGGCAAAAAACAAAAATTAAGGAAAGAAAGAGAAAGGAAAATAAATAAAAAAAGAATGTCCCCAGCATTGATTTTCACATTCCAATATGCCTCCTCCAACCCAAAAAAACAAAACTCAAATCAATAGAGACACAAACCTAAACAAAACACATTCATCAATGCATCATTCAATAAGAGAAAACCAACCCAACAAAATAAAAGATGAATAAGTAATAAACATAAAGGAATATCCTTTCTCCTTCACTTCTCTCAAACATTGAACAGTGCCAGTAAATGCCATAGCCACATAGCCTATTCAAAAAGCTAATAAATGAGCCTCCCATTTCATCCCCATGAACCAATACTTGTAATAATATCATAACTGCAACTCTTTAACATAAAAGTTTCAAACTTTACACACACAAACACACACTAAGAGTGAGAGAGAGAGGTATACGCCAAGGAGGATTGGAGTCAATGCAGTACTCAAGGTCTTGAAGTTGTTCCATAGGAGGATGTGCAATGTCAGCCATTGCTATTTGGGTGGTGAACCTTCAATACTTCCCTTAAACAGAATCAGAAGAAGAATAACATAAAGAAGAAAGAATATTAATACACACTCAAAAAGAAAAAAAGAGAGAATATTTATGAGGGGAGGAGAGCATATAAGGAAGAAAGTAGAGAACTAAGCACAAAGTAAAGCACCAGCCAGCAGCAACAGCACTACTACTATACCCCCCCCCCCCCTACACCACCAGTTGAAAAAAAATACATAAAATAAGTTTAACAAGAATTTACAAGGAATAATTGTTCCTTCTCTTCACTCTTCCTCAGTAATAAATTATTCAAGAAAAAGAATAACTCAAGAATATTATAATGTTGAAAGATACTAAGCTGTTACGGCTACTTTTACTAACCTGAAACCTCAGTAAACAAAACTAACCTGTCGATAGAGCTTCTTTAGTCTTTTTTTTGAAAGTTGTACTTTGTTTTACCAATAAAAAAGGACTTGATTCTTGGTTTTATTGCAGATATGCCATTGTTATTGGGTCCACATGTTCTAACTGGGAGAGTCAAAACTCAAAATGGAATGGTAACTTTCATCTTAAACTACTCAGATCAGTGCTGCTCTCTGTCTGTTTAAATGGGGTCTGATTTTAAATTTTAAATGAACAACAGAAGAAGAGGTAAATTCTGTTGGAGGAAACTATTCGTGTAATCTCCTGAGTTATATCACATTTAGGACTCTTTAAATAATTTGGTTAGCTTCTTAGCCTCGTTAGTAATAATTAATGCTTATGTTTAAGTAGTTTTATTCCTATTATTTTTATGCCCAAGTGTCAGCTTAAAGAATTATTCCTCATAGAATGCTACTCTATCCGTCCTATAAACACTCTTATTTTTTCTATTAAATTATGATAATTTGAGACATTAAATACTAAATGTACTTTATATGGTATTTTATTTACATTTAGTTTGTAAGTCAAAAAAATTTCGAGCATTCTTAAGATGAAAATTCGTCGAATATCGTCATATAAGATACGACAAAATAAATACTATTCCCCTTGTTCTAATTTATATAGCGGGTCTTTGTTTCGGCATGCCACTTAAGAAAAAAAAATGAAGAATTTTGAAACCTGATCTCAAACAAGTCTAGATATTTGTATGACTGTAAATCAGTTCATTAAGGGTAACATAGAAATTTTAAAGTTAAATTATTTATAAATAAAGATATATGACACATAAATTGGGGACAACACGAGTATTTGTTTTGTTTCTTAAGCTTAATCCAAAAAGAATGTGTTGACTAAAAATATGAAATTAATTAAATTGTTATTTGAAATGAAAAATAAAGAACAATTTGTATATTTTTTATCTACTATGGTCATGTATTTTTTGTCTTACCTATTTTGGAATGTGCATTTTTGGTGACTTTTAGAGCATGTTTGGAAAGTCATATAAAAATTGTAGTTGAGCGTAATTACACTTTGACATGTTTTTTTACCCAAAAAAAACAAGACAACCTTTTCAATTTATTTTTTTTCTTTCAATATTATATTATTCATCTGAGAAACAAAAAAGATAGAAAGGTAGAGCATTACAACTTCACTTATTCCCAACAGTGTCTCTGCAATTTCACTCCTGGTAAGTTCTTTTTTTTTTTCCTTTCTTATTTCGTATTTTTCTTGATAGCTGATTTCTTATTGAACTCTTTTATTTACTTAACTTCACGTGGCCTTGAGCTATGGTACTGTGAGCTAGAATTTTTTACCTTTAAATTATAGAAGGTTGAAATTTTGGTAGAAGAATAATTTAAATAAAAAAAGAATGATAACATTCACATGAGTTGGTAAAGAATTTTAACTTGTTATTGAAAATTTATCGTTCTCTTTTAAGTTACAATATTATTTATATGGATACCAATTATTTTTATGATATTATGCATTACTTTATAATATTTAATATATTTTCGTATAAAAGAAAATGCATTTTTAATATATGATAATATATAATATTTAATATCTATTATATATATAAATATTTATCACACAATAAAATTATCACATGTTAATCTTAAAAAGTATTTATTTATCTATGTAATTACACTTATACAACCAAATATGATACAAATAATTATTTCATGACAAACAAATATACAATTGTAATTACAATACTATGTAATTACCAGGTTGGTTAAAGTTTTCCTATTACATAGGGGAAGGGGAAGGAGAGGGAAACATGATCAATAGTAAGAATTGAAACACACCATTCAAACAATTAATTATTTAGGGGATTGGCATTATTTAGGTGGAAGAACAATTATTTTGTAGGAAACAAAGGAGGCAAAGGATATAGAAGAATACAAAAAATGGGGGTGAAGAGGACAACACAAGGAAGAGTTATGATGATAGTAATTTATATTGCATTTAAAACAAGCATCCCTGCATTAAGGTATCTTCTTATGCTTTTGTAGTTATCATCTTAATGGACAATCATTAATCAAACTTCTTGGTTTTTGTGTGTCGAATTGGATAAAAAGTTGAACACATAACTTAATCATCTCCCACATTATATACTATTGATATAAGCTATACTACTAACTTGAATACCCAACATAATTGTCAAAAAGGTTGATCTTAAACTATTTTTTACGTATAACATTTTTGGCCATACTAAGGATCCATTAGTTCATAGATTTTTTTTTCGGATTTAAAAAAAGACGTGTTTATTCATGAAATTTTGTAAGTTTGGAAAATTTTCGAAAATGAATTTTTCAAAAACCAAGTTTTGACCACTTTTTCAAAATTTTCTGAATTATTTTTTCCCACTCACAAAACTAAATTATTTTTTCAAGTGAAATACATGTCCAAATATAATTTTAAATTTTAAATTGCATTTTTCAACTTAACTTCCAATATTATATTTTTCAAAAATTATAATTTTTACATCCTAACACCCCCTAAACATATTCGAATATGTAAATATTTGGACATTCAAATTGAGAAAACTGCATACCCCACCAGAATCATTGTCGAGATATCATTTATTTGAAAATTCAATACTATATAACTGTTTGAGGGGAGTACATGGCCTTTACCAAATCAGAAAAAGGACAATTTTATACCAAGATTTAACTAAATCATAGAACCTTAATAGCCTGTTTGGCCAAGCTTCTTTTTGGCCAAAAGTGTATTTTTTTTTTTTTTTGCCAAAAGCACTTTTGGCCAAAAATTGAAGTGTTTGGCCAAGCTTTTGGAAGGAAAAAAAGTGCTTTTGAGGAGAAGCAGAAGCAGTTTTGGAGAAACAGAAAAAAGTAGCTTCTCTCCAAAAGCACTTTTGAAAAAAATACACTTAGAAGCAGTTTTTAAAAGCTTGGACAAACACTAATTGCTGCTCAGAAGTGCTTTTCAAACTAATTAGCCAAACACAAACTGTTTCTCACCAAAAGTACTTTTGAGAAAAGCACTTTTGGAAAAAAGCACTTCTCAAAATAAGCTGATTTTTGCAGCTTGGCCAAACGGGCTACAAGCTTCTTTTGAGGTAGAAGCACTTTTTTTTTGGTCTAAAGTGCTTTTTTTCTAAAATTAAGGTGTTTGACCAAGCTTTTGAAAGGAAAAAAAGTGCTTTTGAGGAGAAGCAGAAGCAGTTTTGGAGAAGCAGAAAAAAGTAGCTTCTTTCCAAAAGCACTTTTGAGAAAAATACACTTAAAAGCAGTTTTTTAAAGTTTGGCCAAACACTAATTGCTGCTCAGAAGTACTTTTGAAATTCATTTGCCAAACACAAACTGCTTCTCAACAAAAGTACTTTTGAGAAAAACACTTTTAAGAAAAAGCACTTCTCAAAATAAGCTGATTTTTGCAGCTTCGCCAAATAGACTATAAACCTGACAGTGCTCTACAATTTAAGACATTACACTTTCTTTTAGCTTTAGGTCCACCAAATATGATTCTCTTAATTTCTCTTCACAAATTTGGAAATCATTGCCCCTCGTTATCATTCTATCTACACAAATATATTTTACCTAACACCTTCTTCTTTTAGACTATTCTAAAAACTTCCATTCATCTTTATACTTTCTAATAGTTGTAGATAGGGTTGTGCATAGTTTGGTAAATATCTGTGATGACCCAAACGGTCATCATTTGTTTTAAATTAAATTTTATGTTTCCGAGGCCTTGAAAACCTCATTTAGAGTCACCTCGAATTGCATGCGCAGTCCGGGCACGTAGCCGGAAAGCTTAAATATGAAAATCTTTGAAAAATGATAAAATTTGTCTAATAAATGAATTAATTTGACCTTGGTCAACGTTTTCGGTAAACGTACTCGGACCCGTGATTTGACGGTCCCGAAGGATCCGTAGGAAAATATGGGACTTCAGCGTATGCCCGGAATCGAATTACGAGGTCCCAAGCTCGAGAAATGAATTTTTGAAATAAATTGTTTTCTGAAATTGTTTATAAGATTTTGAAATGAAATTTGATGAGAACGTGTTGGTATCGGGCCCGTATTTTTGTTCCGGCGCCCGGTACAGGTCTTATATATGATTTAAGACATTCTTGTAAATTTGGTGAAAAACAGACGTCGTTTGACGTGATTCGGACCTATATTGCTAAAGTTGGTGTTTTATGAAGTTTGAGAAAAATCCTTTGATTTTGAGGTTTAATTCGTTGTTGTTGAGGTTATTTTGGCAATTTGATCGCGCGGATAAGTTCGTATGATGTTGCTGAGTTAGTACCTATGTTTGGTTAGGAGCCCCGAGGGCTCGGGTGTATTTCGGGAGGTTTTGAACTTAAGAAAAGTTGCAGAAAAAGTTGTTCAGGTGTTCTGGTATTTCCTTCTTCGCGTTCGCGGGATGACCCTCGCGAACGCGATGTGTAATTTGTTGCTGAAGGAATTTCCTTCTACGCGAACGCGTAGCCCGGGTCGCGAACGCGAGGCAATGGGGGGGGATATACTTTCGCGAACGCGGTGCTGGCCACGCGAACGCGAAGGCCAAATGGGCCTAGGCAGGGGGAGGGGTAGTTACCTTACGCGAACGCGACCCGTTGGACGCGAACGCGAGGGCTCGAGAAGCTAAAGCTTCGCGAACGCGAGCCCATTAACACGAACGCGAAGGCTTAACCAGCCTGACCCATCGCGAACGCGAAGGGTCTGTCGCGATCGCGTAGAGTAAAATCG